CTTTTCATGTGTTTGCTGACCATTTGTATTTCTTCTTTTCTGTTCACTTGTCCATTTATTAATTGGATTATTTGGAGGTGTTAGTGTTAAGTTTTTGAGTTCTTCATATATTCTGAATATCCATCCTCTGTCAGAAGAGTAGCTAGGAAAAATTTTCTCCCATTCTGTAGATTCTCTCTTCACATTCTTAATTGTTTCCTTTGCTGTGTAGAATTAAAAGAAGCCTTTTAATTTGATGCCACCCCATTTATTATTGGCAATATTTCCTGAGCATTAGGAATCCAGATGAGAAAGTCATTGCCAGTGCCTACATGCTGGAGTGTTGACCCCATGTTTTCTTTACGAGTTGCATAATTTCTGGTCTAATTCCTAGATCTTTGATTCATTTTGAATTGATTTTTATGGAGGGTGAGAGAAAAGGATCTAGTCTCATTCTTCTGCAATAATCCATTAACCTCACACCATTTGTTAAAAAGGCTGTCTTTTCTCCAATGTACTTTTGGCAGGCACCCTTATCAAGGATCAGTTGACTGTATTTGTATGGGTTTGTCTTGTATGTTTTACTCTTTTCCATTATTCTATGTGTTTTTTATGCCAGTACCATCCAGTTTTTGTTTAACTCTGTAGGTATTATGATGCTTCCAGGATTGGTGGGTTGGTTTTGTTTGTTTGTTTGTTTTTGTTTTTAGGCAGGGGGCTTAGAATTTTTTTGTTTTGGCTATTCAGAGTCTTTTGTTTTTCCAAATGAACTTTAGGACGTTTTTCCCCCCTTAGTTTTATGAAGGATGTCATTGGTATTTTTTGAGGCTATTGTGCATGGTATTATTGTCCTGATTTCTTTCTCAGTGGATTTATTATTGATGTACAGGTATGTTAGTGTTTTTTCTTTTTGTTGTTGGTTTGTTTGTTTTGTTGTTGTTTTTTTTTTTTTTTTTTTTTGGTTTTGATTTTATACCTGAGATTGAACGTAGGGGTGCTTAACCATTGATTCATACTCAAAACCCCAGCCCTTTTTATTTTTTGTTTTAAGACAGAGTCTCACTAAGCCACTTAGGGCCACACTAAATTGCTGAGGTTGGTCTTGAACTTGCAATCCTCCTGCCTCAGCCTCCCAACTGTATATTAATTTTGTAACCTGATACTTTGTTGAATTTGTTTATTAGCTTTAGCAGTCTTCTGGTGGAGCTTTTTGAATCTTTTAAGTATGAGATGATATCATCTGCAGTGGTAATTTGACTTTTTTTTCTCATTTTTATCCTTTTTATTTTCTTCTCTTGTATAATTGATCCAGCTCAAATTTCTAGTACTATAATGAATAAAGTGGTGAGTGGACATCCCTGTTTTATTCCTTCTTATCTATTACCTTTGCTCAATAAATGTGGGTTAATACTTTTTGTTTTAATGAGAGGTACTTTTGAACCTAGAATGTGGGTTAATACTTTTTGTTTTAATGAGAGGTACTTTTGAACCTAGAAAAAAATTAAGATCAAATGTATTTTACTCCAAATCTTTAATCAAGTTATTTTCCTGCTTTGAATTATTTTCCTTCAAATACTTTGCAGCTATTAGGTCAATTTACAAAACTATATTTTATAACTGAACTAAAATGAATTTTTTGCTAAAAATTGCAGTCTACATATCATAAAAAAGAAAACTGGGGTACCCATTAGTGAGTTAAAAGAAATAATTTCAAGTACAAACCAAGTCTACCTATTCTTTTCTTCCATAAACCTTCTTTTCTTTCTCTAAGATGCCAAAATTTTAACTTTCAGTATTGTTTTGAATTTACTTATTGTTATTATTATCATTTTACAGGGATACTAGAAGTTATTTAATATAGAAAAGCTAAGAAGGGAAATTGGAAAATCATTTTCTCAATTCACTACTGTTACATAATTCAGTAAATGTTGAAATGAAGATGCAACTTAAAAGAGCAACTTGAAAGAGCAAAAGCCTTTACACAATGTGTGTGTGTGTGTGTGTGTGTGTGTGTGTGTGTGTGTGTGTGTGTATATATATATATATCTCAAAGCATGGTGTCCATTAACATGTACAATTGTATGTTTTTATATATCAGTTAAAATAAATTTAATTTAAAAATAAAGTGTAAAAAGAGCAAAAGAAATACAGAATCAGAATCCTATTTCATTTATTTGTTTATTCAACAAATACATACTAAGCGCCTACCATGTGCCACTGTTCTGAATGTCAAGAATGGAACAGAGGACAAAGCAGACAAGATCCACACAGGTCTAAAATCAAAGCCTTTAAGAGAAGCTTCAACTAAGAAATAAACAAAAATAATTAAGATAAGTTTAGATGCAGAAATATCCCAGAAATAAAAATACAACTTGACAGCATTTGAGCTGAGAACTTACCCAAGAAGAAGAAGCCACTAACAGTAGAGGTCATCAGAAAAACAAGATGGAAGCCACAAAAATCAAAAACAAATGCAGCAATTCCCTGCTTTCTTTATCCAAAATGCAACAAGAACTGGACATATTAGAATCAATTTCTATAAACAAAAGAGAAACTACTTGTTCTATAATATTGTTCACCTCAAAAATTTATTTCACAAACAGGAATGAATGCAGTCAGGATGGGAGAAGTAACCTAATTCTGGAAAAAATAAAAGTTTATTGACTGCTTTTTAAAAATAGATGCAAATATCCATAATAATAGATTTCTAAACCTGTAACAATCACTTCTCAGGGGAGTCGGGAAAGGTCAACATGGCCAGGCACCAGGGGCATGCCTGTAATTCCAGTAGCTCAGGAGGCTGAGGCAGGAGGACCGCAAGTTCAAAGCCAGCCTCAGAAATTTGGTGAGGCAATAGGCAATTTATAGAGGCCCTAGGAAACTTAGCAAGACTCTGTCACAAAATAAAAAAGGGATTTGGTGAACCCTAGGTTCAACTCCCAGAACCAAAAAAAAAAAAAAAAAGGAAGAAAGAAAAAGAAAAGGTAAGGTCAACATGACCCATCTCTCAATACACAACTCAGATCCCAACATGGCATGCTTCTTCTACCCCCAAACTGTCCATCCAACTTCCTTCTCAGTCTCTCCCCCTCAAAATTCCAGCCCAGCTGGCTCCAGGCTTTCATATTCTAGGATCTTTCCCCGAAGTCTAAACCTCTCTTCCATTTCATACCTGAACCGTTTATTCCCATTCAACCCAACATTCTCTTAACTTGTATCCTTACATCAAAACAGAGGTCCCTTAGGAGACTAAGACACTAAGACCACCAATTAGAAGGTATTAGACAGTTACAGATGAGAAAAAAATTTATTTTGCAATTATACGTATAATTGTGCTCTGGCATATTATTATTTCCAATAACAGCTTCTCTATTGTTAAGACTTTAGATGCTATTTAGCTAGCTTGTATTACAGTAACTTACTGGTAGAGATAAGTGTCTATGCACATTTTACTGATTGAAGTGGTTTCAGAACTGTTTCATTCTGGCTTTTTTTTTTTTTTCAACTGACCTTAGTAGTTACTTAATTGAGATCATGGTCTGTCTCACGGTGCTTTTTAATGTTTTATTTTAAAATGAAAACTGTTCTGAAGATAAAATGGAATAGAAGACCATATTTACAGTGGCATCTAAAAAGAGAAGATGTCAAGGTTAAAAAATTAACAGTTGCTGGGGTATAGCTCAGTGGTAGAGCATTTGCCTTGTATGTGATAGGCCCTGGGTTTGATCCTCAGCACTGCAAAATTAATTCACAAGAACTGTATATGTGGAAGATTTTAAAGTCTCCTGAAGAGCACATTAATAGACTGGAATGCATTCATAATGTTGTCCCCCGTCACCACAGTCCTTGTCCAGAGCTCTTTTGTTCTGTTAAACTGAACTTCTGAACCCAAGAAATAATAACTCCATTCCTGCCCCCACTAGCTCCTAGCAAGCACATTGTACCTCACCTCCAAACTACTCTAGGTTCCTAATCAAAGTGGAATCTTATAGTATTTGTCCCTTTGTGACTGACTTAGTTCACTTAACATAATTTACCTCAATGTTGATCCATGTTGTAGCATGTGTCAGAATTTCCCTTCTTTTTAAGGCTGAATAATAATTTTACTGTGTATATGTATTACATATATATCCCCCCCAATTTGCTTAACTATTTATCCAGCAATGGACCCTGAGTTGACTTTTAAATGTATTATTATCCCAATAATAATTTCTGTATGCTAAGTTCATGTGGGAAAAATAAACAAATAGCTACAAAAACTAAAAGAAATATGGAGAGATTCAATTTACCAGATATTAAAATGAACCGCAAACTCTTAATAATTAAGTTATCTGGTGTTGGTACATGAATAGAAACACCAGTGTAACAGAATAAAATGTTTAGATATACACAAATGTGTTCAGGAATTTCTTATATGATAAAGATGGCATCTAATATCAGTAGAATAAAGATGAATATAGACATTAAAGGGATAATTGTCCATTTGAAGAAAATATAAAATTAGAGTTATACCTCATGGAGTATATGCGGATAAAACTTCAATTACATCAAATATTTACAACTTAAAGTACATGAATAAATATAAGTTGTAGAAGAAAATATGGGTGGATTTCTTAATAACTTTGCAGTGAAGAAGAGCTGTCTATGACCCAAAAAACAAAAGTCATAAAATTAAAGAAGGTAAATTAAATTTTATTTAAAATTTATGGCCATAGCAAATATACCACAAACAAAGTAAATAAGATGATAAACTGGGAAAAAAAAAACATTAACAAATCCTATCAACAATGAATACTGTTCTCCTGAATAGATAAAGAATTCTTAAAGACCACCCAGGAATTAAAAAGATTAGGAATAACTTAATAGGAAAATAACCAAAGCACATGAGTAGACATTTCACAACAAAGAAAATAAATCTGGCCAAATAGAATACAAAACAATACAAGATATACAATTTAAAATCCCCGTTTACCATTGAAGAGGAAATAGTCTATCAGTTAAGGAGAACAGGCAATTCTTACCAAAATACAGATTCACTGATCCCTTGGGCCAGCAACCCCATTTCTGGGTATATTTCCTACAGTTAAATCTACATACATATTAATGAACATGTACACAACTACTTATTGTGGCAGAACTTGGTCAAGACCCAAGTAAACCATTGTTCATTTACACAATACTATGCAGCTGCACAAATTGTAATGAGGACGTTTTCTGTACTGATACAAAGAGATTCAGGTCATACTATTGACTAAAGAAAACAAATGCAGGATGGTGCTTATGGTACCCTGCCTTTCATGTGATAAAGTGAGTGGGGAAAAGAACATATTGCGTTCTTATCTATTCACATGTGCATATATAAATATTGGAAGGATAAACTAATAGGCCAGCACACCAAAACTAATAAAAAGATGTGAGAATTGAGAAAGGATAGGACAGATGGGGACATGTATATCCTTTTATATCATTTTAATCTTTGAACCATAAACATGTATTGCCAACTTGGAAAAAAAAAATCTGTGCTATTTGAAACAATAGACTGTTTTTCATTGCAAATGAGGTACATAGCATGGCCTTCAAGACAAACAGAACGTTCTTAATTTCCATACTTTAAAACATGACTTTCTTCTTGGGAACATGATTTTTTAGATGCTTTTTTATTTCTTTAATGCCAAGTCATGGTGAATATGGACATCTAATTTCAAAATGACCCACCCACACACTGTCCACCCTGTCATCTCCAGCCCACCTGGGACCCACAGAGCCCATGAGGATCTTTCCCTGCCAGCCTCCACCACTGCCCTGACCTCACCATTGTATTTGTGTCAGTTTACACCAAGCTGAATCCAAATCATTAAGTCATTACTCTCCCATGTGTCCATTACATATTAAAAGGTAAAAAAAGTTTCGGTAAAAGCAAAACACTTTAACAGGCTAATTTTGAATAAAACTGTGAAGTAAATAAGGGTTGTCACTGATCCACTTCTTTCTACTTTCCTAGGGACCATCTGCCACATTGTGATGTCTTTTGCTAGAGTACTCAGCTCACACCTAGTACCTGATACCTCTTGTAACTCACCATAAAGAGTAAAAGCTCCAGCGGCTTAGTGAGCGTCAACAAAGCCAGGCACTAAGAAACTCAGTGAGACCCCCACCTCTCTAAAAAAACAAAAACAAAAACAAAAACCACACACACACACACACACAAAGGGCTGGGGATGTGGTTCAGTGGTTGAGTGCTACTGAGTTCAATCCCCAGTGTTCCCCTCCCCCCCAAAAGAATAAAAGCTCCAATGCTGACACCTGCATCAAGTAGCTATTACTTCTCACCTACTCATTTGACTTACCTTCCTCCAAGACACTGCTTGAGAAACTTGCAGGTTTTGCCTTTCACTTTTGTATGTACCTGGAAACCAAGGCTCAGAGAGCGAAGTAAATTCCCAAGTGAACAAATAGTAAAATCAGCATTGGAATTCAGGTTTGGTTCCATGACTAAGCCTTTTTTCACCTAAGCCACAAATATAACACCTCCATTTCCTCCACAAGAAGCAAAATTCCCCCTTCTTCTTTTTTTCTGTCCAATACTCTTGGTGCTCTACTGCTGTGGAAATCAATTTGATAAACCAACTGTGCTTCAATGATACTGGCTAACAAAGATTCTCTAAGGGCTTATCATAGTAGCTTAGGCTTAGCGAGCCCCCGCTAAATGCTTTACCCAGGCAACATTTTAATACCCACTAAGTGTTGAGGAAGCAGACATTATTATCACCTTCATCTTACAGTGGAGACATCTGGGTTTGGAGGGTGGAATGTAGCTACAGGTTACAGCACGGAGGGGGCTGACCTGGATGGAGCCAGGCTGCTCACTGTGGTGCCTGGGTGCTGCACTATCACACCATTTGCATCCCTTGTCTCCACCTCCAAAGCTGCTTGTTAATGGAAGATGGAAGCCTTGGAAAGCTCAACTTCAATCACTAGAATAAATCTGTCTTAGTGCCTTCCAGCGCCCAGCTGGGAGATATTATGATGCATGAAAGAACATTTTTAGTACTTTTCCAGGTGTTCCAAACAAGAATATTTTCTCTATTCTTGGGTTAGCCTTTGTTTTCCCTGAAAATTGGATCCAAGTTGAGTTCCTAAAGTCAATCAAAATGAAACATTATGTCCCCATAAGTTTGAAGGAATTCACTGTTACATGCCTCTAAGAAACTATATGCATTATCCAGAAAGGTTATGTCCCCACAATATCTGGTCAGTAGGCTGCTCCCAGGACCACCTACTGACCGTTCTCAGCCCCGAACCACTTCTTCCAGTTCTGACTTTCTAAATATAGTTTTCCCATTTGGCCAAGGAGGGAATATAGAAATAACCCCAGGCAAGCATTTTCTCAAAAATGTTACAGGAATATTGAAGTTCATAAAATGCTCTGCATGTTCCCAAAGCACAATCAAGTGAAATCATTTGGAAAAGAACATGTAGTGAAACAGCACCACTCAGGCCTTTAATTTTACCAGAACTCAACTGCCCTCACCCTGCACAAAAGAAAGTAAAATGCAAATCCTTGACATCCTCTATTTCTCTTTCTCCATTTCATACTAGACTTGGTCCTCCACCATCAAAGGAATACAAAAATCACCCCTAAAGTGCAAAGAGACACAAAAATATTAACTTTTTGCTGTTCTTCTTCCATAGGCCCAGCTACCCTGTTAAGGTAGCTTCCAATATTGCTAAAGTAGTTGCTTGCAAGCATCTTCTGTTATTTTCTCCATTTGTACCTCTTTAGAACAGGCCATTATCCTTTTCTGTAAGTACAGTGTGATTGGAAGGCAAGCACACCTGCCTGCTTACACATCACCATGGCTGCCCTCACCAGAGTGACAGAGTGGTGGAGTTGTCACTGACACCACACTGCCCACAAAGCCAAAAATATTTACTCTCTGGCCTTTTGCCAGAAAAGTTCTCCATCCCATATTTAGAACTTCAGCCCCTGCAGGACATGACCCCACTCCAGTGGCTGAGGGTTTCAGGCTGCAGCCAGAGCAAGAATTCCAAACAGAGTCCAGTGTTACAGCTTTGTCAACTGTACCCCAGAGAGTGTTTTAAACCCTTCTCAACATCTATATCTATAAAACAGTATCTGTATTAACAGCATTTACAGGGTTCTAAGACTTCAGAGAATGATATCATATAAAGCACTGAGAAGCAAGTCCTCAATAGGTCTCACTTATTATTATTATTATTGATATTAATAATGTTTTTACTAAGATTTATAGATGTGTTAGCATAATTAATTAAGAATCTGAGAATTATTTTAGAAATAAAAAATGATACTTTATTTAATCCATCTTTTCCCAATTGTCTATGGCTAGAGAATGCCTTTTTGGTACTCCTGGGGGACCCTCCAAAGACAGTGCCCTCCAGGGCCCTGCCTCTCCCTCCTCTTGCCCTCTCTCTTTTTCCTTTGTGGTCTAGCTCTTTCTGTAAGATGCCCGGTATCTCATGCCTCAGCACTTCTTACCCCTTGTTTCCTACACTTTGTACTTAAGACTGGTTCCCTGTGGATCTAGCTCACAGCTAACTGAAAGCCAGTCACTGCCACAGACAGGCTAGTGCTTGCTATCAGATCAGGGCCCGGAGGTGTTACCTCTTAGCATCCTAATGGGGCCTTCCCCACACAGTACCTTACTGGGAACAATCCTTCTAACCAACTTAGAAACTTCAAACACTGGGTCAGTCAGTTAAGAAAACAATTTTAGGGCAAGGGGCCATTTGAACTCCCTATTCACAGTGCATGTGTATGTAAATAATGTTAGCCCAGGATCATTACTGAAGAAATACTTATTTGGGCATTGTTCGGATTGGGGCAGGGAGGGAAGAAGCCTGAGACGATCCTCCATCGTACGTGGATGACAATGCCACTTTGCCATTACAGAAGTGGACCACCATTACCTAACTCACACTTTTCTCCCCAGCATCCTTCCCCCTCCAATAGCTGTTCCATTTTTGCTTTGGAAAATTTGAACCAATTATTTTTCCAGAACTAAGTGCCTACTCACTCATGCTGTACCCATCTTAGAATCTCCACAGTGGCTGCTATGTCATAGACACCAAAGGATATTTCTGGGGGCAGGAAGGAAGGGAGGGAGGATGGTAGAGAGCATGAGGGACTTTTTTTCCCTAGCTTTAGGGCTTGGTTCTCTGTGGCATTTTCTCTTCCTGCTGCTTCCCATGACCTGATATTATTTCATGGTCAGCTGGGAGGGGATGCCATGAGACATGACATCCGACACAGATGCTATAAATAGGTGGCAATTTAAAGCGCTCAGACTTCTGCAGAAACCAATGAGGACCCATGTCTTGGGAGAGTCCCAGAATCTAGGATATGAAACTGTAAACTGCTTCCCTCTGTGATCAGCTCTTGGTGCTTTAGCCATAAGGGTACCTGATACAAGCTGGCATTTGTTCTGAGAGTCTGGGCCTTTAGTAGGAATCCAAGCAAGGACAGATTTGGAGCTGTGGGTATTATGTTCAGTGCCTAGGGTGAGGCTCCTATAATGACAGGTGCTGGAGCTTCCCTGCAATCCTACCCAGGTTCATTGCTCGGCTCTCCTATAAGACTGCAGAACTGTTCTCCCCATAAACATTTTGCATAACTTAAGGGGAATTCTTTCTATTGCTTTGCCCAAAGGAATGTTAAATAGTGAGGATTTCAAAGCCAAGGTCAAGAATTTGGCCTGAAAATAGATGTTCTTTTGCTCTCTGTAGCAGATGTTCCAAGGTGGTTTTATTATCTAATCAAATATAATATTCCTGGTCACCCTCCATGGGGGGGGGGCACTATGTCATGTTGCTACGTCTGAAAAATTTACAAAGAAATTAACCAGGACCTCAGAAGAAAGAGAAAAAAATTCACAAACATAAAAATAGTGATAACATAATGAAAGTACATGTAAAGTATTATGAGCCACACAAAAAGGATATATTGTGTTTTAGTCAGCTTTTTCACTGCCGTGACTAAAAGACCCCATCAGAACAAATGCTCATGGTTTCAGAGGTCTAAGTCCACAGACAGCTGGCTCCATTCCTTGGGGCTTG